ACAATTGAATATCCAGGTATACACGAGGAGTTTCTAAACATGCCAATCTGCTATTTCCGTCTGCGTATCCATTTCTGATAATGACACCTTGGGGCCTCTCTTTCCGGTGATGATTTCAATTGTATTGAATTGTATTTCTCGCTATTTCAGACGTCTTCACTGGGTCAACTCGTTAACCTCTTGATCTCGGCGGAAATAACAACTCTTGTACAGTTGTGCAGTTTTGCTCTTTTTGCTGTTATTTTAACTAGATATTTCGCGAAAAATATGTCACTGGAGGGCGGAGGAGGTGCGGCATACCTTGCGCGTGGTCCCACGGGAGCCTTCTTCCACGCGGCGGCAACGTCTGGGACCGCCACTAAATATTGTGTTCGCGCAGAGAATACAGCCCTTGGACACGTGTAAGCGGCCCGCGGGATTCCGTATGAAGGCAGATCGGGCCCGACGATTATACGCTAATTCAACGCAAATTCCTTCGCGGAGATATCTGTATCGCTTGCATACATCAGGAGGTACGCGAGGTGAGCGCTACCTATGCCGTGCCGACACACTAACGTTTTCTCTCGGTAGCAATTCGCCTCTATGTGGCCCCGAAAGTCCAGAGGTTTAATCAGTTAAGGAGATTTCACATTGTGGAGGGGAAAGTTTTTCTCCGCATGAGGAAACATTAAAGTTATTGGAATGATTTCATAATGCGGAGAAAAATGTTGAGGAAAATTAATGGAAGAGTTGGAAAATCGGAGAGCGAATCTGGTTCTAAGTCTTTGCTTCTGAATTGAGGTATTGTATTCGTCAAATCCGAAATTTCCAGTTTTTTGTGTCAGGATAACTAATTTTGGCCTCAGAATTTCGAGTATGTATGTGTGTATGTGACCGACGTTTTTCGACGATAACTGAATACAATTATCGATTGAGTCGTTGGTCGCTCGCTTCGCTCGCTCCCATTGCGGGTGGATTGGAATTCAATTGGGTGGTTGGTCGCTCGCTTCGCTCGTTGCCATTGCGTATGGGTTGCAGTGGGTGTGACCCATTACGGATCGAACCGGTAACTTTCCGACCAATTCCCCTTTTTCTGTTTATTAGAAGAAAAGCAAATTTTGACATTTCTATCCGGATATATCGAGAAAACGGCTGAGACGATTTTGCTCAGCATCCAATCAAAATCGAATGACATGTAGATGCATCGATCGTAGCAAAAAAATCAAATCCCATCGTTATTCTCGGTAAAATTGGTGATTTTTTAAGGAAACTCATTTTTTATTTTTCTCATACGTTTTATGCGAATAACTAACGAACCGCTGAGATGATCATCTTCATAAACTAATCAGTGCAAATTTCATTTTCGGGGTCATTACAACAACTTCCTCCCGTTGGATCGGGAAGCCAATAATTGTTTAAATGAATCTCATTATGATTTAAAATATTCGTCCCAATGCCATTTTGACCAAGTTCGATCATGAGATTGATTGCATAATCTGTTGGCGATAAAATTAATTTTGAGTTCAATATTCAGGGAAAGGTAAAAAATTTTAGCGTTGGGGTAATATTGGCTGCCAACGTTGGGGCAATGTTGAATTCAATGAATCATAAAATTCAATTTAAAATACCTCGTCATAGAAATTCCTTTTATAAGCAAATTGCCGAAATTTATTAGAAAAAATATATGGACTATGCTGTAACGAAGGCAATTTCCCACTTGTTTCTCTCGATATCGAGGGAAGAAATACAAGACAAACAGTGAATTTTCTCGATTGAGCCCAAAATTTTACTGATTGTGGGGTGATTTGTTTGGAAATAGTAAACGTTAACCGAAACTTCATAAAAAATGGTGCCAGCGGATGTAAATAATTACACAATGTCTACGATTTTTTCTGTGACGGTGATCGATTTTCTTCTCCGGATGCTGTATATTAAATTTTCGCTATCGTCTGTTTGCACGCCGTTCGTATCATTAAAAAAAATACTGTACAGGTGCGAGAAATTTTATTGTACAGAAAGCCGTAATTTTTGCTTCTACACATGTCATTTTTTTACTGAACGAATGTTATCATTTCTTCCAAGAAAAATATCTTTTTATTGAGTTACATCTTACTTTGCTCGCTTTACCGTTGGGTCTATAAAATCTCCCGTAATTTTCTCGATGATTTTTCCGCGACTTTCTTCTCCGTGGAAACTATTAATCGGAATAGAAACTGTTTCATAATTGAATCTCGAATTGATTGAAAGGAAGAAGAAATTAAAACTTTCATTTTTTTTTTTGTCGTCCGATGGAATTTGAAAAGGTTCTCTAGTCACTATTTCTTCATCCCCGATGAATATCTCCCGAAATGAAAATATTTTAGTTTTATTTATTTATCCCAGAAGAGACAAAGGCATTTTGCGAGGTGTTGGTCATTGGAATTTCTTTGGGGCTTCTGCTTGGTCCACAGTCTCGCAAACGTGAAAAGGTGGGATGCAGTGACTAAAAAAAAGGGAAGAGAAAGATATATATCATGGGTGTCAGGGTTGTACTACGACATACCATTCTTTTATGCTGGATACCGCTACTAACGCGCAAACGTTATATACGTTGGACAGGACTGCGACGGCATCCACAAATTAAGGAAAAACCAAAGTGCGTGGGGATGTCTGTCCTTCATAAAACTCTGTTAGCGCCTGAAGTAGACGACGTGCCCCGTGTCTACGGGAGGAACTAATTAAACACGAAAAAGAAAGCATAATCACGTGGAAAAAGTCTAGAAATAAAATCTAAAAAATCGAGGGGTTACTCACAGCCAGAGAAATCGCGCTTTTGAATCGAATTAAACTCTTTATTTGTGATTTTTCAATTCACTTCAGTACTTTTTCTATTGGAAATTGATGAATTCGTATATTTATTTTGATGAAAATGTCTTAATTATATGGAATCAATAATTAATTCCAAATAAATCTAAATACAATACACATCTATATTAGATTCAAATATCATTGTTATGTTATATGACATGTTGATAAGCTCGTTCTCTTCGCCGCTTGAAGAAGGATTTATTTTCTAACTGCTAAAGTCTTCAAGTAAATCTTTGTTTATATTTCAAAAACTGTTTATTCAATTTAAATATACTACTTTGCTGTTTTCACTAATTAAATTAAGCGATATCATGGAAATCAAGTGATTTTAATTCTTTTGGATCATCATCTGCAACAATCTTGAACGTCACTGTTAGAACTAAAATGGAATTCCATCGACAGCTTAATAATAATTTTAAAATTAAAAGTAAAAAATGGTAAAATTTCAAATTTCATTGATAATTTACTGGATTTTCCAATTTTTGGACAGCAAGAAAACGCGAATTTCAAGGCTTATTTGAAAGTTCAATCAACACCTGAATAGTCAGCGCCAAATTACGCTAAATTGTCAATTAATTACAATTCAATGATATATTGATCTGAATGTTCTTGATTTATATCAATTTTCATGGGTCAATTGAACTGAAATGTTCAGTTTTCATTAATTTTTTCAACAAAATAAATTTTCAATAACAACATTCCTTGAAATTGCGGTAGAATACTATCACATCATAGAAATTTCCAAGAAGTGTACAGGAAATTTTAGCCGAAAATTTTCAACAGTGAAGTCGTTTGAAATCAACGGCATCAATGGAGTCAAAACCCATTATTATCAATGTAGTACGAATTTTTCATAAATAATATATATAATAGTCCCCAGCTATTGAAAAAAATGTTAAATAGCTGTATTACCCTGTTTAGGAGATAATAATAATTATAACAAAACGGTTATTACGATGTTCTTAAAAAACATCATTAATTGATTCAAGCAATTAATTAACAAATAATTGCCTATTTGTTTCAAACAGTTATTGTTGCCTCCATCACCAACCTATGACGATAGAAAACTTATGAGCATCAAATAAATTAAGTCATTTAGAATATTTCCGGAAGTCCATGGGGACTAACTTTTGGTCAGTATTGTCTAGGAATATACCTTAAGATACCGCGACTCAATTCTCAATCAGGGGTATCCGACAAAGGAAATCCATCACTTTACCAACGCGAGTTAGGATCAAGAGCCCTTAAAAACCAGGGATAATTCCCCGCATTTTTTTTCTCCGCGCACTAATAAAAAAAATCAAATGAGACGACAAAAGTGTAGATTTAATTTTCCTACACAGATCTAGTATCTTCGCTTGTTAATTCCCCTGATGAATATAAAACATCGTAATACCTAGTGAGCAATGCTCATGCAAGGTATACGAAAGAGGTGCGGGCAGGAGAAATAGAGTTCATATGTACCAAGCCAACGCACACGTTTGTCTCTCGTCATTAGGTACGTCTACTTCGTTAGGATGAGTTTTTCCCCTGTGCCGCTAATGAGCCTGCCCCGGCAAGTAGTCCCCCATGGTTTTCAGCATGATAGAATGAGACGGTGACTGTAAAAAGAGATAATAAAGTCACTGGGATAAAACTGGGTTGTACACTACTCTAGTCCTCCTCTTTTCGTATGATGTGCTCCATGCATAGAACTTTAAATTCTAATTTGCAAGAGTCCAGACAACGGCGAGTATTTTTTTACCCCCGTCAGGAAAAAAATCTCTTTTTCTTTTGAAATCTCTAGAATGATACAAAAAAAAAGATAATCCACATGTGCAGATTCCATCCGTTGTTATTAATTCCCTTTTATTTCTCCTCATTTACCCTTCTTTTTGTGTATTTTCATGACAAAAAAATGAAACAATCGAAAGTATTAACCCGAGTGCGGTACGTAGTAGCAATTCATTCAGCCGTCCGAGTTAACGTGGCACCTCGTTTAATTCGCCGAGTATTTCCTGCAGGGTCGACTTATTCTCAAAATACTGGCGACACGAGGGCACACATCGAGTAACAGCTGTTCGCGTCTCGTCTCTGAATCCTCGGCTGACTTATTCGTTCATGTTTTGCTTCGTTCCACGAATTCACTTCATTTTGTATTTATTTCAATTTTTGCTTTGTCCTTATATTTGCAGACTGCACTGCACTGGGGAGCCAAACACGGGGATGAAAACATTGTCAAACTCATCGCTGGGACATACAAGGATTACATCAAGAGCGTCAACGACACCACGGTAAGTCCGTATTTTCATCGAGGACCGAACAAAAACAAAACTCACGTCACAAATTAAATTCCTTCATTAGAATATTCTTTCTGTTCTCGGTGACTGACAGAATGGGGTAAGTTCAACCGATATTTCCACGTCCGTTGAGACAAAAGGGAGTTGCTCGAGAGAGTGCAGAGTGCCTCGAAGGAGGAAGGGAAAGAGCCAGGCGAAGACGCCAGATAGGATCGGATGCGTGTGGTCCGCCGCTTTACTCTTTATAAGACTTATATAAGCCAAAGCGCACACAGAAAGAGAAAGATACACTCGGTGTGCTCGTTAGCGGCTTGCGACAAACACTGTACGACTTCCATTGGCTCACTATGGGCTTCCCACCCAAAAAAATCATGATTCAAGTAGTTTCAGGCTTCATGCGAGTATATTCTACGTGTTTCGAGCAGGCCTGAGTTGAAAAATTTGATCGGTTTTTGACCGGATTTGTCCAGGAATAGTCGGTTGGAGAAAATTGCATATTACGGCCCAAAACAGACGATCTTGATCGGTTTTTTATCTAACGCGTTTTATCTAACAACTACATTCGTCTGCTCATTGAGAACAGGTGAAGAGGCCAAATACCGAGCGAAATGTTGAAGAATTATTCGTCGAATTCTTCCAAGTTCTTCATAGACTCAGAAAAATTGGCAGTCGTTGGACTTTATTTATTTATTTATTTTCCTTGCCGTATATACCCTATTCGGATTTTTAAATGTTTGCGGTTTCATGGGCCAACTTCCTCTCCAACCGTGTCGCATTGTACCCCAGGAGCTGTACCCCACGTACAGACTCTCCTAGTGACCAAGGGAAACCATGGAAAACCTTGGTCGACACGAGCCAGTCGTTGGACTTTGAAATACTTTAAAATCGCTGCCTTTTGCCAGGCGGCGACCCTGGTCTGAATGGACAGCTCTCTTTCAAATTCAATATTTCTTTTTTTTTTATCGTTATTTTACATCGCTTCAACCCGGTTAGGGTATACTGCGATGATAATCAAGACTTTAAATGGTTAGATCGCACCATTCTACCCGGCCGGGATTTGAAACCTTTCGCATGTGAGGGAACGAACTTATCCATTGCGCCAAGCCACCGGGGAAATTCAATATTTCTGAAACTATGGATAATAATTCAGTAACGAAGCGGTAAACCGGGTTAAGTCAATTTTTACTTTTCCTCAGTTTTTGACGGATATCTCGTGACCTAAGAGAGATAGCGAAATTTTGCTCATGACCTTTTTTATAACACTTAATTGCATCTACAAAAAAGGTTATGACAAAAATTTTTCTATCTCTTTTAGAATCCGAGATATTCTTCAAAAACTGGCCAATAGTCAAAATCGATTTAACCCGGATTACCGCTTCGCTACTGAATTTAACCAAACAAGCAACATTGGCAGGAGGGATACTGTAGATTCAATTCCACATCGGTTTTACTATTATCCATTCATCAAAAGCGATCAAATTTCAGTGATATTAAGCGTCTGACACGCTTCCTAACAAAAGCGCCCCGTTCGTGAGGAATTAACGTGCGGAACTTTCGGGAAAATTCTCATTGTTTGGGCATGGAACAGTAGATTGTGTACCAAGTGAGGAAAATAGAACATTCCAAACTGCGTGTTTATGGCCTTCGCCTTCGCCTCTGGCAGTAACCCACACGCGGATCGGAAAGTCCTGTTTTCTTCCCTTGGTGCACAATATACTGTTGTCAACCAAAATTTTCAAAGATGTAAAAACTATGAAATATGCGGCAATCGTTGGAACTTAAAACTGTAGATTGTGTCAACACAGAATTTTTAAAAATTCTAGTTTTGATCCTTAAGCACAGGGCGGGATCTCCCTTTTTTAGCATTTATGGATGAATAATTTGTTTGCTTATAAATCAAATGTTTCTCACTTTGTTTAACTTTAGGTTGAAAATCGACCGAATGAACCATTGAACAATAGCAAATACCGATCAATGTAGGAAAAAGGCCTTCAGACTAAGTCGGTTTTCGACTGAAAATTGCATACCGTGTAAGTCGCGTAAATAGGATGCGTATAGTTTAGTGGAGATTCCCTGGTGATGTGACCACTTAAGGGTTAAGTTATCGTGCGTATAATTCTAGGACATTACACGGAGAGAAATGTTCAGTAAAAATTCCGGACCTCACTCCGCTCACCGATTACGAAATCGACTCAGAAAATTTAAGTGACGGTATCGTAATTTTTCACAGGCGATTCAGATCAAATTTACGGAACACTGGAAAAATTCCGTGACAGTTCCGTAAAATTTCCTACAACCATATTTCACTCTGATATTACGGAAAAGATACGTAATTTTTATTGAATATTTCTCTCCGTGTATATCATCAGACGATAACAGTATTATTCGACGAATGTGACTTTATAATTTGAGCCGAAGGCGAGGATTATAAGCATATTCGTCAGATAATACTTTTATCGCCGTGTGACACACAATGTTTTATGTCATTGGACCCGAAAACCGCGATCTGGCCGAGCGAAGCAAAATTACAATCGCGGATCTTCGGGCCTAATGACATAAAATAAATTCTTCTCCCAAGAAAATGCTTCCTTGGCAAGAGTTCATTATGTCATCAGGCGATAAAAGTATTATTTGACGAATGTGACTTTATAATTCGAGCCGAAGGCGAGGATTATAATCATATTCATCAGATAATACTCTTATCGCCGTGTGACATACCATATTTTACGTCACTGGGCTCGAAAACCGCGATCAGAGCGAGCGACACGAGATAATTAATAATTGATTACTTCAATTAATAATTGATTGATAATTAATTGATCGCTTCGCTCGGTTTCGCGGTTTTCGGGCCTAGTGACATAAATAGTATATTTCAGGACGATTGCCATGGGTTTTTTTTACTCGCATGGTTGGCCAGCTCTCGCCTTCGGCTCGGATGCCATCTCCACGCGAGTAAAAACCCCACTTTACTAGTCGTGAATGATACTTTTCCCTAACAACCCGACTAAAGCGTGAGGTGACGAAAAGAAAGAAAATCGTCAAAATACAGAACATCTTTCGCGATTGAAATCCCACTCACAGAAAGCCCTCGGACATGGGTTTGTCGGGGAGTTGTCTTCTTGGTGGTAGTTTGGGGGCTGAGTTTTGGAGTGAGGTTCGGCTCATTTGTTTCAACGGTGTAAGCCCGAGCTCTGGCTGTCGACGCCGCGCCACCTCCGCCGCTCGTCGTCGTCTCGGGGACCGCCCGAAAGATAGAGACAGAGTGACACAACTCTCCTCGCCCCCTTTACGTTTGTGGCTCCCTCATGTAAATCGCTAATTCCACTCGGGGACATTAATTATCTCGTTACGCCCGCATCCCACCCAATAGCTCAAGTCTCCGTGTGCGCATAACCGACAAACTGTAGGAGAGAATGTATAACGACGCGGGATGAAGAAGAGGACGGGATTAAGACGGCGGAGAGGTACTTGGGGGAGAGTCTTGAAAACGAACCGAAGAAAAAGGAGTCGCATTCCGTGTACCCAATTATCGGAAGAAAGCTCTGCCGTCTTTTCGCTTACGCGTTTTACCTCAATTGTTTTTCCTTTTTTCTTTTCATCTTGAGACTGGCGAGTGCATTGGGTTCATTCTGCCTCTCTCTCAGTCTCCACCACCCCAAATCCCTTTAACCGAGTTTAAAAGACGAACGATTATTATCTCAATGTGATCTGTATACGCGACGAATAATGTTGTACCACGGTGACAGAAAAAAGGAATTTATTGAAGGCATTTTTATTCATCTCTTTTCATCCGCCAGCTTTTAGTCTTCAATGGTTTCATTTTATGGCGAGAGTGGAAACGATTTTCAGCATCGAGAGGCCTTAATCTGTCACCGATATACCGAGAGAGGAGCGGTACTCCACCGGCTTATCGAGTATAGGATCGACTCGCATTTAATCCTTTGGGGGGAGGGAGGAGGGAGAGAAAAATAAAGGGGTAAAAAATACCTGACCGTCTCGCGGGAGACCGTAAGCCGCGCCCGGGTGGCGCCTTCGCGAGCCATACGGTGGCGTGCGACAGCCACGACAATGCAATCTCGTCCCCGCGGTATCCACATGGCTCACCGGCAGAGCATCCACCCGGTGGCCCTTCAGCATCTCCCGAAACTACTGTAAATGCGGATTTCGTTATTCATTCGGGGACGATTTTTTTTCACGAAATTTGATGAGTTGTACACTGACAGAAACGATGACGTAATATTTCAAAGTTAATTTGTAGAACTTAGTAGTGAAGTGATAAACCGGTATAAGTCGATTGTGACTATTGCCCAGTTTTCAATGAATATCTCAAAATCTAAGGGCAATAGCAAAATTTTTGTCACAACCTTTTTTGTGGAGCGAATTGAGAGCTACAAAAAAGGAAATTACAACAATTTCGCTATTTCCCTTAGATTCCGAGATATTTATTGAAAACTGACCAATAATGAAAATCGACTTATACCGGTTTACCACTTCTGAACTGAATATAGCATCTCTTGAGGACAAATCGTTTTGGAACACAATTTCCGTAAAATGAGTGAAGTCTGCAACCATTTTGGTAGTGATGAGAGACTTTACGAGACAATACTTTGGAGAGATAGTCTCGGTCTCACTGAACATGGAAATTTTTGGTCTCGTCTCAGTCTCGAAATACGCAGTATCGACTCCTCTCGTGATGACTCTGAGTCAATTTATCTTATCTCGGTCTCAAGTTTTTCGTATTTTTAATGTGAAATCTTGGGTTTTGTCTCGCTTTATCTCGTCTCGATTTTCTACATTGAAAAAACGCGAAAAACTGGAAACCGAGGTGAGATAAATTGACTCGGAGTCATCACGACAAAAGTCGATACTGTGTACTTCGAGACTGAGATGGGACCAAAAATTTCCGCGTTCATTGAAACCGAAACAATTCCTCCAAAGTATTGTCTCGCGAAAAAAAGTTCCGATATTCAGCGACATGTCGCTCATTGTCGTGAACATGTCACTGATTTTCAGACATTCATCCTGAATTATTAGGGATTCGCGATTGTGAAATTCAGTGAGTACAAAACTCTGAAATTCAGCGATTGTGTGACAAATTTTCGGTGATATTACCACTAATTTTCAGAGTAACGCCACTGATTTTCAGGGACAATAAATATAAAAGTGATATAAATCGCTAGCAACTCCTCACTTCTCAGCCATTACTCAGTGAATCGTGAGTTGGGGACTTTCGTATTGAATAAATTTAGAATTCATCCATAAGAAAACTTCCAGACATTTCTATAATATAACTGTCTTTTGTTCTTTCAATCGCAATAATGAGTTCAGAAGAAAAAAATTACTTCGTCTCCTTATTCCAAACGCTCGTTGCCGCTTTAAAAATATTATTTCACTACGAGAAAATTAATTGTCTATTCAATATTGTACTGCTTTATTCCAAAAGAGCCCCAATTTTTTCTCTGAAGCCTAATATGAATGTATTTACTATATTTTCTACTTTCTGATCTCAGTAAATTATTTTCGTGATATTAGGTCGTATTTTCTCCCAGTGTTTTGAAGGACCAAGCGTCGATCTGCGAATTATATCTCTTCAGTGAAAATGAAAAGAAATTTTGAAAAGGGGAAAAGTTGGAAGAGTTATGATTCAGCACTCTCCGGCTTTTAGATGGGAATATATGTGGAGAAATATTAAAATTGAAGAATTCTGCAGTGTAATATCACACCAGGAATATTGGTGGCCGGCAGATGTCTTGTTTTTCAACTGTACGACGAACAGAGACATCCTGATACCTCTCTACATCTTATGTGTGACGGATTGAAAGTAAAATGGAAGAAATAGAGTATAAAAAAAATTGGGGGGAGTGAATTGAAAATAAAAGTAGGCGAGACAAAGTCGCGATATTGTCTCGGATACCGTGTTACTTTAAAATATTGTCAAAAGTATAAAAAGTTACATACACTGTTATATATTTTCCGGGGTGGGCATGGTGGAGGAGAGCACCCAGGGTGAGGGAGACGAATGTGACTGCCTCTGCGACACTTTGCCGGTGGCTCACATGCACACGTGTTGCTAAAAGTGAAGGACTCCGCGAGGAGTTGGAAAAAAGGGGTTTGGGGTGGGCTGCACAGTGGGTGGAAAAAAGACGTAGCATACTGCGTCGTATATTACATGGTTCTATAACAGTGGACTTTAAAATGGAGTGAATGGATCCGCCACGCAACCCCTGCGTCAAGGGGTGCATATTCGTATTGCAGAGGGGGGAGGTGAAATGTCCGTGACATTTTTTCATTTTAGGAGTGTTGTTGTTGAGAATTCCTTGTAAACTATTGCTCCATGACAATTTTTTGGTCAATTCCTCTTAAAAATTTACAGTTCAACATCAAATTTCCATTCGAATCTACACGGAGAGAAATTTTTTAGAAAAATTCTAGTGGTAGCACGGGAAAAAAAGCGCAAAGTTACGCCCAGGAAAAAATTTCGGTGCCGGCACTAGAAATTTTATTGGGGAAAAATGTGAATTTTTCCCCGTATTTCTATGAAAATTTCTCAGAAATCGCCAGAGATTTTACCAGAAATATCAAGAAATTTTACCTCAACAGCACTATAATTTTTTACAGCCAGTGGATTGTGATTTTTTCCAGTACTCGTACTAAAATTTTTCTAGAAAATTTCTCTCCATGTAATTTCATCCAATTTCACATCAACTTATCAGGCTTTTAGAATGATTTCGAAGGCCAATAACGACATTTTACGTCAACATTTGGTTTGGAATGTTCCCCACCATAATTTCATCCGATTTTAACTTCTTTTTTGTAATGTTCCTTAGATGCTATAGAATGAAATTAAATATTCTTTCTTTCATTATCTCAAGTAGATCGTGAGAAAATAATTCTCCTCCTCATCAATCGAAAATTTTCAAGTTTTACAGTCCTTGGTACCCCCTTAAGGACATCCAAGGACTTTGACCGTTTTTTCTTCATTGGAATTCTTTTCAAAATTTGCGATCAACATCGGAGCTTTCATTCGAACCAGACTTGGTCTAGATTACCCAACATTTTGTCAAGATTTTTCGCCCCGACGGCCGCAAAGTGCACATCCCGCATCCATCCCGCTTCGCAAAATTCAGCAAATAATTGAAAAATGCAATTTTTTAACATTTTTCATATTTTTTAAAAAGATTTTTTAATTTTTTTTAGATTGTTATACTTCATAAACGATCAATTTTCCACTGTAAGGCCCGGTTGCACCAGCTCCGGGTAACGAAAACGTCAGATAAAAAAAGTAAATTTGGATGTCCGATGGATTATTTTACTCGGGAGAGTCTCAAATTTATCCCAGGAACAAAAAATAAAATTTAATCCCAAAGTTAAATCAGTGTTAATTCAAATCGGGCAACAGGGTAAATAAAAAATTATCCTTCAGGTCAAATATTGAAAAATTATGACCCCTACGATATAATTGACCCCGAGGATAAGTTTTACACTGAGATTTAATTGGGTATAACAGGGTTTGGTGCAACCGGGTCTATGATTCTCTTTTCGAAATCGAAACAGTTTGTGGGTCGTGCAAAGCTAGATTAGAATCGCCGTTTATCGGGCCTATCAACATAAATGTAATTTCCAAGATGATGATTGATCTTTCCAAATTTTCCTCATGCAACTTAATTTTCCTCATGCAACTTAATTTAGAAACTAACTCTTTCAAAATCTCCAAAACCATAGCCTAGTCAGTACAAAACTATACATGGTATTTGAATCTCAAGCGAAATAGTTTTTATCAATCGTAGAAACTGAAAAACTCCAGTTAGAAATCCTGGGAATCGATTCAGTCGGCACTGATGTCCAACTCTCTCGCAACAGCGATTAATTCAAAGCGCCCACGTTCACGGTGGAGACAATGAGAGCCATGGACGCCACAATTACAATGAATTTGTCCACGAGAGGGAAAAGAAACAGACAGGTTCCGCCACGATATACAATACCAATACTTACATATGTTTTCTGGAGACTGTATACATGTAATTACAAAACCTCGATACATGCGGGAAAAAAAATCCCATTCCCGCGCACCCCGTTTTCTCGCATTGGCTGGGACGAAAACATTCGTGATATCACGCGGAAACGTAGATTTCACACGCTCCAGGTAATATTCATAAAACGGTTTAATTATTAATTCCTCATTGTCTCTCACCTCTTACGCATATAACTGAGACGCACGTCAGACACGCAGGGGACTGTAAAATGTAGACAGAAAGGGGGCCGCACTTTATTTCCCTCCATCTCTTGTCTTGTATCCCTCCTCTCCTGTATGTACCTCATGACTCTGTTTTTTTTATTATCATCATTGTTATTATCATTCGCTCTCTCTTATTTTCCAGGGATACACGGCACTCCACATTGCAATGCAGTTCGATCACGAGAATATTTTCAATTTACTCGTCCAGGTTTACGGTGCGTATGTGACATCTAATGCAACTATGTCTGGCACGAGTCGTTAATCATAAGCGATTGCGTAAAAAATGTGAAATTGTAAATTTTCTGTACCATTGAGTTGAGGCTAGACAGTACGACATTGCAAGGATCATGGACTTGGGTGGGGTTGTTACAAACAGAATTTGCTCAAAGTAAAACGCCGACACTGGAGTCCACTTGTCAACTATTATGACAGGCAGACCATAACTTATAGTATTTCAATATGACATTCCAGGAATTCTAGATAATGCGAGATTATGCTATACTTGTCAGCATCCCTTTCTAAGTTGAATGGTTATTTATTTTCATTTATGAGAAAAAGTATATTTTCCTCATTACTAGATGTTTGACTTGATCTTCAAGTTTGTTTCCCATTAGATTTCTTATTGAAATGAAGCTTTGAAATGAAGAGTATATTTTGAAAATTTACAGTTTATTTATTTAAGAGCAGCAGAAAGGAGGGATAGAGGGAGCAACATGTGTGGATTATAGAAATGTAGTGAAAAATAGCTTAAGCATAGATGATAATAGCATAAAATTAACTGGAAAGAGAAGAATGAAATGAGCTATCTTCTCTCGAAAATATCTTGGTTAAAGTAGTCAAAGTATCTTTCCATTTGCCACTTCAGCTCCATTGCGTCGGTAGGATTTGAAATCTTGCTAAAAACGACTTTTGTTTGTTCACATTTTCCTGATACGCGAATGCCGGCTCTACCTTTCGCTTCTTTTGCCGCTCCGTCACCTACATCACCCCGCGAACAATTTTAATTCAGTAGTAGAGTAATAACTCACTCAGCTTCGCTGTTCCATAAGTTCGATTTTTGACAGCAATTCGGAATCTAGAAATAATGGCTCACTTATGCTCTTCTTATTCCAGCCGTAAGGCTGCGCTTCCCGACCGCGTCACGATAACAAATCATTTTTGACACTCGACCGAAAAAAAACTTTTTTATGATACTCATCTGAAAAGCGCACTTTTCAAAACGGTTTAATATGATAGAATGATTCATTTATTCCAACGGAGATTCGTTAACTATTAACGAATGGTAGAGTTGAATATGACCAAATGAATATTCGTTAATAGTTAACGAATGATTCACTTGAATGGCGAAAGTCAAGTCATACAAGACTTCTCAAATATACATTCGTTAACTATTAACGAATGGTAGAGTTGAATATGACCAAATGAATATTCGTTAATAGTTAACGAATGATTCACTTGAATGGCGAAAGTCAAGTCATACAAGACTTCTCAAATATACATTCGTTAACTATTAACGAATGAACATTTGGTGAGATCGAATAGACCCTAACGTCCAACCAAGATCAATTCGTTAACAACTAATCCGTTCTATCAGTGCATGACATACGTAAAGTTCACGAGCCTAAAGCTTCGCTGTTATTACAAAAAAACAATCACTTTACCCACTACCGTTCCGATCATTGAACTATCATTCCGATCATTGAATTATCGGCAGGTATCATGAAAAATAGGATGTGTTAGACGTCCGTACAAAAAAGTGGAACTTTACGCACTAGTAACACAATATACTATTCTAGCTCATCTGATTGTAACCGTCGGCTGCGGGTCGAACTGAAAACTCATTTTGTCAACAAAATTTCGTTCGGTTTAGCGAAGAAATATTATATTACGATACAAATGGAAAATAGATATTTTTGTCACAAGGCCGAAAAAAGCTGTTCTAACGAGTGTGAGGTTTGCAGACCGAGGCGAAGCCGAGGAGTGTAATCACACCAGTCGGAGGTTTTTTTTTCGGCCGAGTGACGAACATAAGTTTTCTTCACAATGTCCGTAAACGGCGTTTGACGGTCACGAAGTGAAATTACGTTTTACGGACAGTGCGATTAAAAAATAGTTATTGACGCGTGTGAGGGTTACTCCAATCACACTCGTCAGAAACTACATTTTTTCATATATATCATACGATATTTTATAGTACTGTTAAGAGAAAGGCAGTTCTTTGCGAAGCGTGCAAAAAAGTGTCCTTTTGTCCCTTCTATCATAAAATACTATTTCAGCCTCTTGACAAAAAATACTCTTGAAGTACTTTCCTCAAAAAAGAAAGGAGAGATCCAGCAAAAGAAGGCTCCTCATCAAAATTCTGCCCTCTCCCTTAAATCCAGAGATATTTATTGAAAATTCATTCTGAAATTGAATCATCCTGTCTTACCCTTTTAGTACTGAATCGAAAGACATCGAATGTTGATCTCATCCCCATATTTCCTCAACTGGAAAATAAATCAATTCACCTAGCACCATCAATTCCCCAGTATTCATCAGAGAACCAAATCTATCAATTCTCCTTGACCAATCGATCTCTGATAAAACACCTTAATCTCATTCCCCTAATGTAGGAGCCAACCAGGAGATTCGGGACCACAGTGGGAAGAAGGCCAGGCAGTATCTGGCCTCGCAGGAGGCTGCGGTTAGCCAAGATACCTTCCGAAGTGAGTATATTCATTTCTCATACTCTCCTCCAGTAGATTAACGCAAAAGAATGAAAAAATCCCTCTGCAATCGGATTAGTGCACTAGAAAGTTCTGTGATTAAGGACTTCATACGTACGTACACGCTGGGTAGAGTATGGCACATGAATTACCATATTACACAGATGCATATGCATAGAGGAGTCAACGAGAAGATTGATGAAAGGGAGTCTACTCATGATTTACTTAATAATGTCTGGAGCTTCAATTCTCTCTTCATATTCCAGACTTCACAGACTGTATAATACATTATTTTGTTTTTTACTGTATTAAACTGAATGAGAATGGGGTGTTTGAAGAATGGTGAATGGGTGGGGTGTTTATGATGTTTTACTGTTATGAATTTCCATTTTGGGCCTTTCGATTTTAATTCTTCTGTTGTAGGGATTACTGCTGCCGTATCATTGAGGCAAGTTGAGAAGCACACTGCTGCTAATTTTATTTAAGTACGCTTTAATCACAGCAAATTGTAAGAGCATCCTAAGAAGTAACGTATGATGAATCTTTTTAAAACACATGTGGTAATAACAATGGGGTGTATCACTCGAACACGGCTATTATTAAAAAAGAACCATTGAATAACCTAATTGGTGCTTGTTTAACAAAAAGGCAACCGAGGCGAAAAAAAACCCTCGAATTATCACAATTCCTGAGTAATTATTTTCCACTTAATGCTGTAATACTTTATTGCCGTGAATGCACGTGTTCTTTTAACCCTAAGAGTATCTCTTGCACATAAAAGATGAAGGCGTCAAGTGCATACGAAACGCATAAATGCAAGAAATATATTCACCGGTGGGGTTACCTCGTTGTGTTTAATTATCGTTTCATCGTACCAGTGTTTCTCTTTGAAAGAAAATTTTTCCTTTCCCGGTGCTACTTGAGGATCTTGAGACTCAACATTATGCATCAAAGAGCGCGGCAGGGGCATATATCACAGGGGAGGCGGTAGTAGAAACTCCGCTAGATAACGTCCTATTAATTATTAAGCCGGCAAAAGCTTCCCTTTTGTTACTCGTCACGGAGGTGGCATGTGCAATTATTGTAACACCGCTAAATTCTACGGGCACGCGTTTTACACACTGAGCTCGCCGAGGGCATGAAAAAGAGGCGAAGCCAGTGGAAAAAAAAAACTTAATCGTATTAAAAAAATTCTTCCGCATGTGTTTGCACATAATGCACTCAACCCTTCTATGTCTCTCGTTTGGCGATAATGCTCACCAACTACGGCACACGCGTGATTTATTTAACTCTGTGTGTATTTAATTGCTCCCCTTCTTACCCCAGTGGAAGGGGCTTCAATTCACCGTAATTAGTTCCTTATCGTTCGCATCAATTAACAGAGTCAACAGTTTTTTTTTTCTTCTTTTTCACTAGCTACTCCTGGTTAGACAGCCTCTTATTGTATTCAACGATCCAACTCCCACTGGCAGTAATGACATTAATATTTATAGGTGTACATCAAGCATCATCCAGGAGTCGTCAAGATTTTTTTTCGCTTTATTATTTAATGCTCTATTAACCAATATATATGATCTATGTTAGCAGATTGACTTTCTCTCGTTCATTGTTGAATGTGTTCTTCCTGAAAAAAAAATAATCTAACATTACTCGGGTCCGTGTGAACGTTTAATGTCTCATTTCATTCAGCATTATGGTGTAATTGTCGTCTTGGTTTACATCTTGCAGAAATAAAAGCAAGGAAAAAGCACACAGAGAAAGATCTTGGTTTCCTACGAATTGGCTCATTGAACGTCCGCGTGAAACGTACGACGGAGGCCTTCAGCCAATTCCTGGGTGTGGCCAGTAGTGGAAATAATGAGAAGATTCATAAGAGTTGGGGATCTGCGGATAACATTCAGGTGAATATCTTATCTCTTCTATCAATATCGAGGAAAATCTACTTCATCACAGCTTCCGCGAAACAGCGTTGTACGAAACCTTAGTGTTCATTATATGTTGTTCACGAATGGTTTGAAGAGAAATTATGTTCGACATTCGGCCGAAAACAATTTTTTCTGTGCTAGAAGTATTTTTCTTTTCCTATAAAATACTTCGCTGTCACATCGGTAAGAGGAAAATTACTCAATATCATAAAAGTCCTTTCTTGGGGCAAGAATATAACATATCCAATCAATTCATTGTTGCGTTTCAGCCAAGAAATCAGTGCTCTTCGGTATGAAGTAGTATGATCGTACTTAGAAAATTAATATTTTTGTTTGGAATGAAATGATACTCTTGAAACGAAAAAGAGAATCTGAAATAACAAGATTACTTTATTCCTTCCCTTCCAACCCATTGCGATTGAGAGAAAGCGACGGTCGTATTTCAGGAAGGTTTGGGGGTTTTCCTTTGCGTGCAATCCGTTGCACTGAGAAAAAAATATATAATTCCGCCAATCAAATTCGTTTCAGACAAGCAAATGCCCGAAATTTCCATACAAAATCTCTCTATAAATTCCTGTCCGAAACATATTTGATGCATTCATATTTGATTGCATTCTTCAACACACCATTTTCTAGGAAACATGACCTATTACACAAAATAGAGTCCCTTCCTTTTGGACACACATGATATTCCGCTATAAGACCTTGTCTACAGAAATGGTGCTCCCCACATTCTGATTACAAGATATCGATATTGAATTCTAGCAAATGATATTATACCATTCCAATTACATATTGTGAAATCTGCATTCCATATTGTACAATTGAGACTTGTAAATGGTTAATTTATTGGGCGCAATTCGACATATATGATTCGAGAATGCGCATTTTTGAGAAAAATACAAAATCCATAAAACTCGGACCCGGATTGGTGGATTTTGTTTTTCTTGATCTCCACATGCTGTGATTATACCTGTCCAGTTTCTTATAAGAAATGAACTATTTACAAGTTAGAAGTATACGATGTGATACTCAAATTACGCAATGTGCACTGGGTTGGCATATTTTAGTTTAGAAAAATTTACCATGTATATTATGTTATTAGAATGTGAGGATTACAATTTCTGTAGACAAGGTCTAAATGCAAAACATCAAATGTGCTCGAAAAATGAAGAGACTTTCGTTTAAAACAGATCATTTTGTCGAGAAAATGGCCTGTCGGTATTAAAATATGTCCAATTTTTTTTTCATCCAATACGAAATGTGATTATAATCCTCGCTGTCGGCTCAAATTATAAAGTGACATTCGTCAGATGTGTTTTACATTAAAGAAAGGAATTTATATAGGGTTCCACATCTTTGTGACGTCATAGGAAATGAGTGGATGGGATTTGGATGGCGTTTTCATCGCCTGAAGACATAATGTACTATTTTGTTATTGGGCCGTAAGAAACTTTTCTGACAAATATGAGCTTGCAGCCCGAGCCGAAAGCGAGGGATGCAATTATATGAGCTAGAAAAGGTTTTTTTCGACCACGTGATGAACAATATTTTTTGTTATGGGGGTCATAGGCAGGGATTCACAGACGGAATGCCTTACGGCTGGAATAACAAAACTACTATTGTGATAGTATAGTAGATTTTATTCTAGGGTGAAGTAAATAGTACATTTCGATACGAGTGAGACGGAATTTTTACGTGCGAAGTTAGCGACCTGAGACTAAGCCGAGGGCTACCAATCACAGGAGCTGAAAATTCCCGTTTCACATGTGTCGAACAATATTTTTTATCACGCTGTGTAAAAAAGTAACTTTTTATGCATGCTTTGCTTCCCTAAAAACGTCCCTTTTCCACACATTGTGATGAAAAATACCATTCGATACTCGTGAGAAAAGTGTTTTCTGGCTCGTGGGATTATATCACTCGCCTTCGGCTCGTGCTATAAACCTCCCATGAGCCAAAAAACTCTTTTCTGCACTCGTAACGCAATATACTATTTTGACAGTGATATTACGTTCAGCGAGTGGCCGAACTGTGCATTTTTCGATTAGAAGTAAACGAAAAGACTTTTCGTTTACAAGTAACACGAAAAGGCACTTTTCAGCACGAGGTGAACATAGCACCAGTGTCAAAGTAGTATATTTCGATACGAGTACGGAAAAGTGTTTTTTGGCTCGTAGGAGGTTTATAGCATGAGCCGAAGGCGAGTGATATAATCCCACCAGCTACAAAACACTTTTCTCATGAGTATCGAACGATATTTTTCATCACAATGTGTAGAAAAGGGACGTTTTTAGGGAAGCAAAGCATACATAAAAAGTTACTTTTCTGTACTGCTTCTCACGATTTCTCGTCTGGGAATTGGTATTACATACTTCCCAAACTCGAAAACTTGAAAATCACTACAGAAAAATATTGTTCCCGGGCTGTTGCGATGGGGTTTTTTTACTCGTGTGGTTGGCCACTCCTCGCCTACGGCTCGGAGGCCAACGCCACCCGAGTAAAAAACCCCATCGCAACAGGCCGGAAAAATACTATTTTCGCACAGCGTGATAAAATTTCTTTTTCATCACGCTGTGACGAAAAGTGAACTTTTCGGCACGCTCCGCGTGCCTAACAGTCCAATTTTCGCCACATTGTGATGAAAAATATTGTTCGTAACTCGTGAAAAAATGTTTTTTAGCTCGTGGGATTATATCACTCGCCTTCGGCTCGTGATATAAACCTTCCACTCGCCAAGAAACACTTTTTTGCACTCGTTAGGAAATATACTATTTTCTCTCAGTGAAATACCACCTTCGCTGGGACTTTTGTCATCACAGATTATTGCCACTCGCAAGCCAATCGAATGCAAACTATTAGCATAAAATACAGAATTAATTAATGCTTCCGGTTTTCAGGAGAACAAAGTCATGCCTCCACCAAAGTACGCCCCAATCAAGAAACGCAGAAGCAGACGTGCCCAAGACTTCACTCCTTCTCGTCAACAAGCTGCTAGTCAACCCAGCACACCTCTTCCACAGACTAAAATAGTGGGAGGGGATAATCCGTCCAGATTAACAAAACGGCCTTCGTCAACCACTGCCGTATCACCAACTACTCCGAGAGCATCACGAGAACATGATTCTGATTCCGACGGAGCCTGCGGTTTCGATTCCGCCTGGCGAGGCTCTGCCCAATTGTGAATTATTTTATTTATTGCAGTGTTTAAAGATCTTAGAGGGAATTCAGGGAATTTTGTAAATCAAGAATCTAGTTAATTTTTAGTTTTCCTTTTCGAAATTTGATTGAAGAGTGAAATGTATTGTAGTGCCTTAGATATTTAGAGGAGTTTCGGTTGTTGAATATTTATAACTTCATGAGTTTTGCCTTGTATCCATTAGAACTCGTACTGATTATATCCATTATTCGCATTTACATGAATTATGATATTTATAGCTAAAAGTTAAATTATTCGTATCGTGTACTCTCGAACAGCGCTATCTGTTAGTGATAGCGCCGAATGATCATCACTTCATTGTAGATTTCATCTGATGGTACAAACGTGAAGACTTTCTACTCTACCAGCAGCCAGTGAATTTCATGCTTAAGCTGGTGCTGCCCCCTATGTACTTGAAAATTACAGAATATCAGTATCTCAGCGTTCACATTTAATTATGATGATATTATTACGTATTCTTTATAATTTCTCAAAGATAAGATAAGTGTATTGAAGAAATGAATAAGAAATTTATAAATACTGTGCATTATCTAATAGATTTTTTAATTAAGAACTTTACAAGAGAACTTATCATCAAAGTCTTACAAAATAAAAATGATGAGGCGAGCGTCATCACTACCCGTTCATTTTTTTTTCCTTAATCAGAGAAAACAAAACATGAAAACTCGTACGAAAAAATTTAATAGACAAACTAGCGTATTTACTACAAAATTCTATTGGATTTGCGCTTTTTCAGTAGGAATATTCATTAGAAAAGAGTTCATACGAAAATTCAATAGAAATTGATTTTTCCGTACAACTTATTCTATTGAGACATTTTCCAGAGAGATTCTTCGGCCTAAATTTTCTGGTTTGATTTTGCTAATTTCAGAAGGATAAGGAAGCCCGAAAAAAATTTGCAAATTTAATGTCGAGAAATTTTTATAGAAAATATCCCAGTGGAATAAGTTGAATAGAAAGATGAAATTCTATTAATTCTCAATAAAATCGGCAAAAAACTCGTAGAATTTCCAATGAAGGTCCAGTAGAATGTCCTAGCGAATACGGTAGTTTATTCTAGAAAATTTTTCCTGTTTGAATCTCGTAAGTAATCAAAGTGCCATAAATATCGACCTATGACCCACTCCTCGCGTTATTGTTGCGCAGAGCAACCGCTATAACCTGTTGCATATCTATTTTTACTTGCAGCTTCATGTTCTCCGGTACTAGCCGAAGGGAGGGCAATAGTGAGAGGAGAAACATTTTCTCGTAGTCCTCCTCGTGCGTTATAGCTCTCTGGCCACTGTGGGAGGAAACAACTTCGGGAATGTCGCTATCAAAGGGCCCCAGGGACGTCTCCGAGAGGGGATCAATCATATGTGAATTGGCAGCCACAGGCCCATTTGAGTGGTTCAGATATGATACGGTGGGCTGTGGACTGCCCTCGTAAGTAACGTCCAGTGACTCAGCATCCTCCTCACACATTACTTCCTCCGTTTTGTACTCGTTTGCCTCCCCATTGGTTATCGCTCTTCCCCTGAGATGACAAATTCATTCATTTTTATCCATTTTCCAAAAAAATTAGTGTATCGATTTTTGTCACTTCTATTCTGCCTATTTAGCAATGTACTTGTTTAAACCACCGTAAAAATTTCATCATTGTCTTGAAATTATTTTACGAACAGTTTTTAAAAACTACATAAATGACTGTTTTCATCACAAGGCCCAACAAATTTTTTTCTGCCGAGTGTGAGGGTTGCAGGCCGACGCGAAGCCGAAGAATGCAATCACACGAATCAGAAAAGTTGTTTCCCACCGAATGAGGAACATAATTTTTCGTTACTGTCCGTAAACGGCGTTTGACTGATACGAAAAAATTGTCTTAAATTTTTTTCTTCTAACAGTTTTTGAAAACTAGATAACAAAATTTCAAGATAGTATTGCATATAATATACTCATGACACTGTGTATGAAGTGACATTTTACGCACTCCGCGTGCGCAAACCTCACCTTCACACCCGCTGCGATGAAAGTGTTCATAATGACTTGAATGTTATGACATTTCTTATGACAAATAGAATATGTGACCATCACATTCCATTTAAATAGCGGTGGCAATATCAGACTCAAATTATGACATAAAAAAATGTTACATGACTGTCATAAATTTGTCATATGACAAAAAACAATGAGGGTCATTTTCACAACTGTCTAAACCCTTCCATGAATTTCCGGAGAAACGGACATCTCAAATTATATAGAGTAAGACTCATTTTCAAATGAATGAAATGATATCCCGTAGCGATATCAGTTTTCGAATGGAACCCAAATAGCGGAATTTAGAGCACCGCTGCGACATAATTTCGAATGAATAAAAAATTCAAAGACATCGAAGTGCATTTTCATTGTTTTCCTCTTGAAATACGATTATTTCTGCACGAATTACAACATTCATTTCTATTACACAGAGTGCAATAAATTCCTAAAATTACATTATCCGAGGTGCTCGATTGACCTATCTGTTTATCGAGCCCTATGTAGTGTACAGACTGTTGGATTCAGCCACACTTGATAAGAATCTGGAGAGAAAATGTAAGCAAACAATTGATTAACCCTAGTCTGGTCACCTGACGGGAAAATGCGACTTTAGTCACCTTCGCGGGAGAGTGCCGCCGTGTTCTTTAGGCCCCAGCGTTGCCGAATCCACTCTACACTTCCCGGGCGCGTTTAGCGAGTTCCCAGCAACGTCGCGCAACAGGCAATTTCATTTAACACGGGAAAAAATTGTTCACCTGTTGGAAATAATTTTTTCTCTCCCAGAATTAAGGATACAATATTGAAAAAAAAATACTAGAATTTTCCAGATACTTCAATTGACGAATTCAATTTTTCTCTAATTTTTCCGGTCACCCAGTCGATGGCAAGGTGAATAAAACGACGTGTTGTGGCAATTTCCTCGCATGGTGACCAGTCTAGGATTAATGTTTCTACGAATTGATGGATAATTTTCGGGGCACTATGTTACCGGGTGTCCAATGGAATGTTGCTGAAACTAATCAGCCATCATTTTTCAACTTATGGAGATAATGGAAAAAGTAAAATAGCTAGTAATATAAGAAACTTGGTAGTTTTTATTCAAGGATATTTTCATCATGATGGGTGATATTTGTGTATTTATATTTTAATTCAAATATTCATTTAAATGATACACAGTTTCGAAGTGTTCACCATCGCTATTGGAACAGCAATCGATTCTTTTTCGAAAACTGTATATAACATGCTTTAAAGTTTCAAGTAGAATGCCCTTTAACCACCTTTTTGAAGGCGTTAACCAACTCTTTCTTCTTGTGGATTTCCTATATAATAGTCATCTTTAATGTATCCCCACAAAAAAAAGTCACAAGGCCGGAGAGTGGGGGGTCATTTCATCCTTCTTGAGCGAATCAAGGGACGCAGTTGCGTCCCGTCGTCAGAAACGGGTGCGCAACTGCCTATAATAATAATAATAATAATAATAATAATAATAATAATAATAATAATAATATATATTTCACAGCCAACTTCCCCCTCCATATTCCCCAAAACCGTTTTTATTTTTTTTCTGTACAAAATTCACAAGGTAGCACATTCTGAGTTATACTTTAACTATAAAATATTGCTATAGATTCTCCATCGCAAATTTATCACATTTCTTCATGTTAAAATACTGAGTTCTTGAATTTATCACAGTTTGTAATATTAAAAATATATATGAATGAGATAGGTGCAATGAGTAAAAAAATCGTTTCATGGGAGAAAGCAATTGTCAATTTGCGACTTAAAATTATTCTCCAGTTTACGATAAGTTGCAAAGTGTGTTTACCGATATGTGTAAAATCTCCTAGAAAAATTTAAAGCAATTTTTTTTTGCCAAAAAAAATTGGTAAAAAAAATTTCATTATTATTTGGTCTCCAAACAGTTATGAAGTCGAAAAAGTATAGTCACAATAATGTGTGAAACCTTCTAAAAAAAAAAAAATTGTAACTAAAACGCCAAGAACGGGTGTTGTTTGGTGGAAGTTGGAACTCAGACATACCAATAAAAAAAATCGAATAGATGAAAATTATGAAAATAACAAAATCAAGTCGATAAAAATTCCGAGTCAATCCACTTGGATTATTTTATTGGTATTTCTGAGTTCCAACTTCCACTTGACAGTACTTGGCAGTAGTTTCTATTTCACCACTTTTTGTAGACGGAACAACACCCGTTCTAGGCGATTTCTTTTACAATTTTTTTTTTTTTTAGATTTACGCTATTCCAAACCAATGACTCGATTGACCATAGACGTGGTGAATGGTTTATGACAGACGTCACTCCGTCTTTCATAAAATGAAAATTCTCGATCAGGCCCCGTTTTCGCGCAAAGGGGAAGAATTTCGTCTCCAACAGCTCTTTATACCTCACCCCCGTAACAGTAGATTCAACAAACTGCAGGTATATAGCTTTCACTGATGCAGCTGTCCATACAGTCACTTTATGGGGTGCAGAGGCTTTGCTACCAAGGTATTTGGTTTTTCCGACCCCGAAAAACGAGAATTTTGATTATTGACATACCCATCCAACCCGAAATGTGCTTCGTCGAAGAAAATAATCTGATCTTCATGAATTTCTGCTCTTTCACACAATTCTGTCTTAGTCTTGCAAAGTTTCGCGCGCTTTTTCGTAGCACCCCTTGTTAATAATTGATGAGTTTTTATTTTGTAAGGATGCAGTTTCAAGAAATTTTATATAATAATAATGCAATAATATGCAGTGAAGATTTGCTAATTCCCAGTGCTGAAGCAGCTTTTCTGATTGAAGTCTTTGGATTTTTCTCGAAATATTTCTCCACTTCTGCCACTGTCTCCTCCGTCATTACCCTATATGCCGGGCCTGCAGCGTCATGCCTGCGGTCCTCAAGTCTACCGTACTGTACAAAATTGTCGATTACCCTATGAGAATAGTACGTTTTTGGAAAATGAAAATGATGAAACTAAATCAAACCACACGTAAGTGAGGTTAAATTCTTTTTTCATACCTTTTCAGAGTGTTTTCATTAGAAACTCGACGCGTTCCATACTTCGTACGGAACCCTCTATATGCATTGGCATACGCTTTGCCTCTAGAATAGAAGCACTCGATAAGATACATCTTTTCTTCTGTCGTGAGATGACTCATTATAGAGCACGAATCACTACTTCGATAGTGGCGTGTATAAAACTGCTATAACCTACGTATCAAGGGACGCAGTTGCGTCCCGTCGCTGAGAACGGGCGCGCAACTACCTATATATATTACCCACTCAATTTCTCCCTCCACGACCTTCAAAACCGTTTTTATTTTTTTCTGTGTAAATTTCACAACGTAGCACACTTTGAGTTATACTTTTTCTATAGAATTCTGCTATAGGCTACCCATCGCAAATATTACCACGTTTTTTCACGCTAAAATGAGTGAAAAATATCTGTCCAAAAAATTTTATTGTCTTTTTTTCATTATTCTCATAATATAATATTCAAGACAGATTATAGAGGTATTAGGAGTTGGCTGTGTTGGATGTCGTCAGTCCGACATTCAAAAGGAATTGGCGAACCCGCGTTTCAATACCACTCGAGATAAACACCGGCACCTGCTGTCAATTTCATGGAATAATTCTCGTTGGATTAACAAAAATGTGTTCTAAAAATTACTATTTTGAGAAGATAAGATTACTAACTATAGAGTCCCTACCTGACGGATGAGGGCAGAAAGGTGCGTTCAGTTTAAGCAACATCCCATTGGACACTCGGTATATTTTCACGAATATTCGTTTAATTCCTGACTTTTTCAATCAAAATCAAGTGTCTTTCTGTCGGAAAAATATCCGAATTGACTTCAAAAAGTTAATATTTCACATTTGACGGGATAAACATGGATAATTCGATGTTGATGGATGAGTGCCCCTTAACCATTCGAAAACTGGTGCCACCACGGTACTTTTTGCTTATAAATCGCTCCTATCGGACATAGAGCCTTGCTAAAGTCTTTTAGCTACGAGATCATAATTTTATCGAAAAAATACAGTATTATGTGTAGTTGATGCAATTATGTAATAGGAATTAATCGAGTCGTTGTTTGACACATCACTCACCTCCTAGCGTCGATTATTGGCAGCAGGAATGATAAATTTTTGAAATAAGCGTATGGCTTCCTCTTCCTGACACCTCCCTCCGCTGCCAGCTGTCGCGCTTTGAGTTCTTTAGTGAAATAATCCCGGATGTGTCGCCACTTGCCTCTCAAATTTTTCTCTGCAATAAGTCACAATGTTTTGATTAACATTAGAGAAAGGCTCTCATATTAATCCTGAATCATCTGGCTTTTATTGCGTGACGTTTCGTAACTCTATAGCGACTGTTTTCTTTAATCACTTATACCCTAATGTCGCAGAAATTGATTATAAAATCGAGGATTGTGTTTATGTAACGCCGGCTGTCGTTAAATTTGGGTAATCAAATTTTGATCATTTCCTTTATTGTGGGGTAAATTTACAGATACTGTTTTAGTATCAATATTTCTGATGTCACGAGGAAGATTCGAAAATAATTTGCGTCATTCAAAGAGAATTTTTATGAATTTCTTATGAAGTCTTATGTTTCAGTAGCGAAGTGGTAAAAGGAAATAAGTCAATTTTGACTATTGACCAGTTTTCAATCAATATCTCGGAATCTAAAGAAGGTAGCAAAATTTTTGTTATAAGCTTTTCTGTGGAGCCGATTGAGTGCTATAACAAATGTAATTACCAAAATTTCGCTATCTCCCTTAGATCCGGAAATATTCCTCAAAAACTCAACTGGGAGATAAGTTGACTTATCTCTTTTTACCACTTCACTAGTGGTTTCTACTGGGCTCATTCCGCCGATATCGACTCCAGGCTTTTTAGCAGGCAGGTTTTTTTCAATTGTATTTAGTACTTCATCAATGATAGAAAGGGAAATTGTTGTACGAATATTATTCTTCGATCCTTTAATCATCCAATTCCGTTTCTTCCCTTTCTGCTTCAGAATGGAAGCCTTGTTAATTATATTTATTCGGTACAAGAGGAACGCATTTCCCCGTATAGTCCATTCGCTAGGGGTTGAAAGGTATCCACTAAAAGGTCTGCGTATTGACTTTGGCTTTTTTTATTTTTATCATTTCAGAAAAATCAGAATTTGTTTGTTGGACTTCACCGAACTCACGCATTCAAACGTTCAAAATAATTTAATTGTTTAAATGCGCATAACTTGAGAATTATAAGTGTCGCAATAAAAGAGTGCGTACAAAATACTCGTCTCGTTAAGACGAATCCATTGATTTTGTACTCATATACTGATATCTCAAACAACAACGGCGATACATTTTTATTCGGGAGGCGAATGCGCGCCCGTGTGACGTGCGGAGAATGATGTAATGCATTCGCTAGGGAATGGTTTTGCCCTGAAAATAAGATCCACTGCTAAATTTGTTGATTCTGATTCTGCTAAATATGTTGCATAGTTTACCATCCGGTCAGGACAAAACCAATGGATTCGTCTTGACGAGACGAATATTTTTTGCGGACTTTTTTTTGTTGTGGTCCCAGTTTACAGTCACAGAGTTATGCGCTTGGAAACAATTAAATTGTTTATAAAAATGCCTTTTCCCACCCGGATGGTAAAATGACCTCACTTGCAGGGCAAAATCATAGCGAGCGTATGAACTACATCGTTCTCCGCACGTCACATGAGAGTGCGTTTGCCTCCCGAATCAAAAAAATGTATCTCCGTAATTCTTTGAGATATCAAAACGAGTCGAAAACCAATGGATTTGACCTGGCGGAACGAGTATTTTCGATGCAGACTTTTTTGTTGTGAGGCTTTCAGTTCTGGAGTTATGCGCATTTAAACAATTAAATTGTTTATAACCTTTGAATGCATGAGTTTGTTGGTCGAACAAACACATTCGGATTCTGCGACCCAAAAAGAAACATTTTTAAAAAAGCTAAAATCGACCCGGAGAGATTTTAGTGGATACCTTTCGACCCCTAGCGTATGGATTAGTACCATGTCAACGTTTTTCTCCATACCCTTGCTAAAAATTCAAACCTCATGAACAAATTACAAACTCGAACATTCGCATAATATTTAAATTTATTCGAAATAATATGTATTTTCCGCAGAATAAACCGTAAAGTTTGAATACTAAGGATAAAAAAATGCAAGCGCCATTGAAAAAAATTGTTTAGAAACCAGAAAATCAACAAATAACTAATATTGAAATACGTTCCGTTTCACCCGAAATCACTCTAGCTACGACATTCAAGCAACGTGCGCCACATGATCCCGTCTACTACGCAAGCGCATTACCCATCGTTTCTCTCATTTCCGAGTTCATGTGCTCCCAATCCTCGATTATGGCCGCTGCAACTTCGTTCCATGCTTTGGTTTTTGCGCCTCTGTCTCCATACAGATCGTGTCTGCAGTCGTAGACTATTGGCTTCTTTTTCACCTCAGTTATGAATTTCTCAACGTCAACCACGTGCGTTTCCGATAGTTGGATTACCTTTGGATTACTTCGACGGGCAAACATTTTACGATGCGGATAGCACAAACGTCGCTACAAACTCCCGCGGACTGGCCACAGACTCGTGTTATATTACGGAACGGCCTCACTGCGGCTACGATGCGGAACAAGTCGCAACGTTGCCAAGCGTACTAGCGGCGGGGGCAACATTGCTCTCGGCGTTTGCGTTTCCTCACTGCATTTTCATGTTGAAAACATTGTTGGAGAAAATTTTGTTGTTTTTTAATTTTGCGTGTGGGATAAATTTTGAGGTTGAGAAGCGTATAGTGAGCCCTCGGCCACTCAATTATTCCACTTCCTGTGACCACTGCACGGCAATTACGTTTATTAATCCGGAAGAATACGCCGGATTCATCACGCGGATTTGAACACGTTTTTGTGGTCTAAATTGAACGCCTGGAATTGAATGAATGTACCGAGACATTGGGTTTCACTGCATTGTGCGGCGCGAAGTCAACTCTTGGGCAGGAGCGCAGGGGCCTGCAGACCCGAAGCATGCTCGTTACGATCAATAAAATAGTGACGAGTGAACCGCGCGATGTCCATTACCGCTCAAAGTATTTTATCTACTTGTAATAGTTAAAACTATTAAATAAAATTAATTCTAACGCATTTCCATGCGGGATTAAAACGTCTCACGTATAATTTATTTCCCGGTGAAAAACCACTCCGAGATTTTTTTTTCGATTACTGTCATCAGCAAATAAAACTCAATTTTTTGATCGCTGATTTTTATGACGTAATAAATTGAGTGACTTTATTCCCCGAATTTTCCCCTGAATATTAAAAAATTACTTTTCAAGCCTTTTCGAAAATTCAGTCTCCGGGCAATAAATTATCATTTTTTCATGGCTCATATTTTTTACTTGGATTTTTTCATGACTTTTTTATAGTTGGTTTTTGCTGAAATCCGAAATATCTGCAGTGCCAGCTCCTCCGCGCACTCCGATTGATTCCACCCGGCAACTGCGTCAGTGAATGGCGTGTTAGCTCCACTCCACCAAAACGCGGAATGAAAAAAAAATTAATCACCATCACTCTCCATTTTAATTCACTCCCCGAGGACAACGTCAAATATCACGAACCGTCTGACGTAATAATTTCTTTCATTTCCAAGACGAGATAAAAATTCTCAGCTTCCGGGTTCATCTTTGGGTACCAGGAGTTTAGAATCCTGTCGTGTAATTCCCCGAATACACCGGATACTCTACAAAAAATGCGATTGGAGGGTGGTTGCCGCGCGAATTCAATCCACCAATGGTGAATCAGCCATTGAGTTGCCCACATCTCTCGTCTCTCCACGAGAGCATCGACCTTGGTGGGTTGGTGACAGAGATGCCTTTAGGAAAAAAATCGTCTGCGAGTGAGAAAGACGAAGTCGTTTTCAGGGGCGGAAATTCGTTTCCACTCGTCAATCGGGCGACAATTAATGTCCTCAGGTGAAGAATAAAAACAGCAATCATCTGAGGAAAAATGTCGAGAGACAAAAATCCATCGCGATCACTAATTGGAGACGTTTTCACCACTTCCACCCGATTCAATCGCATAATAATAAGTACGCCAGCATAACTATAGGCACTTGAGCCCCATGCAGCGTCGCTGTGTCGATCTGTGTGCGCTTCATAGGTGATCCTGCCCCGTATAAACGCAAACTCTGTTACCGGCAGTCTGTACTTGGCGGCTGGGGTTCAGTTGCCGCCCGGCTGGAACAACGTGAAGACCCCTCGTGATCCCTAAAATCTCGTGCACTCAATCAATTAACGCATCACCCAAATCCACCTTAATAATGGCGGATTTCCTTGGAAAGAAATACAAGCTCTCGAGCAGCGAGAATTTCGACGAAATGATGAAAGCCCTAGGTACGTACAAATCACCGTAAATTTATCTCAATTTGCATTCGCACTGCAGTTTGTCACACATTAATGACCTGTTGAAATAAACCGCGTTATTAATCGAGCGCACACCACGTGGCAGACGGAGAAATCGTAAATTCGGGTGCGAAGATATTGTGATGGAATACACATAACATACGGAAATTAATAATCTCGAAATAGCGCAGTGGTCCGGACACGCTGGCAATTCATGCTGATTGATAAATTACATCCCACAGGGGAAATGAAACGCCAACGTCTTCATCGTCCGCAGGAATCCGCCCACCCGATGCACCCCCGTTTATTTCCCCATTCAAAAATCGATAATTCTTGTTAGCGCGACAATGCAGCGGCCTCAGGATATTTTAGTCAGTGCCATAAAAATAGAAGAAGAAGACTGAGGACTCTGCGTGCACGAGTGGCGTGCACCCTGATCCTTTTTTCAATTCTTCCGCATTGCTGGTCGATTTCCAATTTAGCTTTCGGGAGCACTAAACGGTCAATTTTGCGCTGTTGGAAAGAGCCAGGGGAACCGCCTCGTGTTTCCCATCAACCGGCTTCACACCTCCGGATAAATAAACCCACCTAACCTACAATTTCCCATGCACACACTTCGCGCATCGTTACATTCAGTTGTAATAATCCAAAAGACTCCGTTTTGCTCATGTGTGTTTGTGCATGCGAGACGAGCCGGTAACACGCGACCGTGCGAAAATTACCGGGTGGCGTAATACATGTAGGAAGGAGTATTCACCGACCACCGCGCTCTCTCGACTCGCGGTATGCGCATCGAGTTACGAAAAATGATCATCGAGAAATGGTCGCACGATCCAGTTTTATATGCATCGCTCTTGTGACCTTGGGATATTTGAATGGATTTACATACAAATATGTGGTATGTCTTTCCATTTGCTCGGTTATTAAAAATTCCTCGTTTTCGGGGGAATTTTGATCATAGATTGTTGACGGTGCGTCATGTGACATCAATTAAGATTTTAGTTGCTCGTCGAAAAGCCACGGGATTAATTGGTTTATTCAGTGGGTTTTGCCACTGTTACAATCGGTAGTTTCATGATGAGTAGCTTGGAATAACAGAGCTTATCAGGCAGGATGAAGTTTTATGTAACGTATCCTGTTGCGGTTTTTTCTGGGAGAATTTTAGACGGAAAGTTTTCAAAGCTTTTTACCGGGGATCTGACGAGTACATCAATGTACATCAATGTACTCTTTCGAGTACATGTTTTCGTATCAAGAAAACGGGTGGAGATGTTCGATTTCCACATCGATAATTTCGTTATACTTTAATATCGGCATAGCATTTTCTCGCTAAAACGCGCACGAAAAAATTGAATAGATAAACCTAGTCAGGTCGCTAGAGAATTCTATTGGATTTCTATAAAATTTTCTGTTAGTTTTTGGCCGATTGTATTGAAATTTTTCAATAGGAAGATTCGATAGAAAAAGTCAATAGAATTTTATTTTTCTATACTTATTCTATTGAGATATTTTCTATAACACTTCCTTGGCTGAAATTTTCCAAGTTGTCGTTCTATTTTTCTTTTTATCAAAAAAATCAAACGCAAAAAGCTTGGAAAATTTCAGCCGAGGAAATTCTATAGAAAATATCTCAATAGAATAAATTATATAGAAACATAGAATTCGATCGACTTTTTCTATAGAATATTTTCTATTGAACATTTCAATAGAATCGGTCAAAAAGTAATAGAAAGTTCAATGGAAATCCAATAAAATTTTCTTGCGAATTCGTTAGGTTTTTCTACGAATTTTTTTCATACGTGACCTATGATACACAATGAAGTCACCGAGAAGAAAAAAGTTTTGATTTTCAGGGACATGTCACTGATTTTCAGGAATTTATCCGAAATTACTAGGCATTTATATTTGCGATGTTCATTGTATTCAAAATTCTAAAATTCAGATATATTGTCACCCATTTTCAGTGACATCATTAATTTTCAGAGTAATGTCACTGATTTTCTGTGACCCATCTCTATTTTTTTAGAAATTTATCGCTAAATTTCAATGATAAAAATCTCTGATGATTAGGGTCATTCTTATCTATGTCCAAGAAATCTGAAAATCAGTGATATATACTAGGTAATCAGTGACGTATTCCCGAAAAATACGCATACACGTTTCTAAAATTTCTGTGGTTTGATTCAGTTGTTTCATTAATTATTCGAATCATTCAGAAGTAGCAAACAAAACCCGCAAGATAATTTTGTTCAAAATATAAGTAAAGTAATGCCGTTTTCAAAACTAGATCATTATGACGGTACTTGAATTATAAATGCCGAATCGTGCACAATAAATTAAAACCCTACAAGTTTGAATAGAACCATGTGGATTTCAGATCGTACAATGTGTAATTAGAATGGTACATCACAATTTTGTAGAATTAAATCTGTAAATCGTGTAATTAGAATGTGGGGATTACAATTTCGGTATACAAGGTCTTGATATAAAAAGTCAGACGTGTCGAAAAATGAAGGAAACCCATTGTGTGTAGCAGGTGATTTTATCAAGAAAAAGTTGAACCGATGTTGAAATATGCCATTAATCCTAACGTATTTTTAATGAAGTTTCTATATGAGTAATAATAAAATCCTCTATTTTCACTCTCGGAAATGATTGATTCGATTACGCGATAGACTAAAGCGTCAACCAGAGGAATGTAAATGCCGGGTTTATTTGCCGTACAAGTCCGTAGGTCAAACTTCAATGGCTTTCGTATGCTATCTTCGCGAGACGCCGAAGACGTCACAACTGATTAATTCCAAATAACAAATCGAAATGGGTATCGACCACTTACTCCGTGCCGATTTACCAGTCGTAGTGAGAGCACTTGAGAAGTCTCGCAATATCAATTCAACATGCTCGGTTTACTCGGAAAAAGATACAAGCTCGTGTCTAGCGACAAGTTTGACGACTACATGAAGGCCCTCGGTGGGTGCAAAGACCTCTCATCTCATTAATTACACTCTGTAATCATTGTTTGATTACAGGTGTGGGGTTGATGACCCGAAAAATGGGAGCTCAGATGAGCCCAGTTGTCGAGCTTACCAAAAACGATGACACTTATACTTTAAAGACAACAAGCACCTTCAAGAGTACGGAGATTAAATTTAAACTCGGTGAGGAGTTCGATGAGGAGACTCCGGACGGCCGCAAGGTCAAGAGTGTCATCACCTTGGATGGAAACAAGATGTCTCATATTCAGAAGGGAGACAAGACTACCACCATCGAACGAGAGTTCACTGCAAACGAGATGAAAGCCGTTAGTAATCGACTTTTTTCATTATGTGAAACGAATTCTTGCAGCTCCCGTATTTTTCCCATTATTTACACTGATAGTGAGGCGGGGGGGGGGGGTTATTGTTGATAAAGTGCCGCAACTATAAACATATGTGGACGGTTGCATATGGACGGGTTGATATTTTTTGATATTCAACCAATCATGAGTTGGCGTCAGCGAAAATTTTAATTTCCCATCAATCAATTGATTAATTTACTGATTTTTGAGGCATTGGCTGTTGCAATTGGCAGTTTCGGGGATCTGAGAATGAGGAAGAACAAAGTGTATCAAATAGGATGAATTTCTACATCACTTATCCTGTTCTGGCCTTCTCGTACAATTTGTTTCTTTGGATTTTTTCATGAAAAGCGAGAAATGAAAGCAGCAAAAAAAACTTGAAAATTTTTCAGAGAATAATTTCAAGAGTTTCAAAAGCATAAGTCGATAGAAAAATAAATTCTATTGAGTGTTTTTATTAAGTGTCTGTGACAAAATCGGATGGAAAGGCTGCGGGATTTTTAATGCAAATTATCCAAACGTGAATCGAATTTCAATAGAATTCCAATGAAATTCTCATAAAGTTCGAGATTCTTATAAACTCATTAAATTTTTTTATATGGGCCACTTTCCTGGAAATTTCGGGAGATTCTATAATTATGAATAACAGTGTTTTGTGCGCGAGAATTAACTTTTAAAGCGAAACACACACCGAAAAAAATGCAATGAACAGGATTTGTTTTTTAACTTGAATGGAATCTGCAATGGAATGGAAAACATAGATCTGCAAAAGAAATCTCTTCGAAAAACCTAATGTTTTCGTTAGACACTTAGACTTTTATTGAAAAATCCATCAGTTTTTCGCTCATTCTATTGAAAAACACTCAATAGGAGATATTTTATAGAAAAATCACTGGGAAATAATATAAAATATTGAGCCAATAAAAGAAAAAATAATATTGAGATATTCGACCAAAAAAATCTCGTTGAAAACCTAATCTTTTTCTTAAACATTTGATCTTTTATTGAAAAAATCCATTAAATTTTCGCTTATTCTATTGAAAAACTTTCAATAACAAATATTCTATAGTAAACATCACTACGAAATAATATAAAATAGTGAGCCAATAAAAGAAATAATATTGAGATGTTTGATACAGGAATCCTGGGCCTAAATAAGTCATTTCAAAGTTTCCTCCACTGAATTATTCTTTTCGCACTAAAGAATTCAATAAAAAAAACTTGGAGAATTTGAAATAATCTCAACAGCAATTCTTCCGATTTTTCTATACATTGTTTTCCATTTGATATTTCTATCGATAAAGACACGTAGACAATTTGCGAAATTTTTAAATAGCCTTAGCAGAAGAACTAAAAAAAATCAATAGAAACCAGTATTAGTACATTACATGCCCGAGCCTTGGAAAGCAGATCACCGTCCCCCACTTGCAAGATTGCCTTCCGAGCCGAAGGCGCGGATGGCAAGCACGTGGGGGAGGGTGATATGTTTTCCATGGCGAAGTGTGTATATGAATTTTCGCGTTTCGCGCAGCGCCGAGAAAATGGGGGTTTTTTAGGTCCCGTGACACGAAAAAAGTTCTTCGGAATGCACTCGGTATTTCTATAAAAACAATAAGCACGTGTACCGGAATTCTCATTTATCAAAGGTCAATGCAAATCTGCAAATGGACGTTTTTTGTGGTTGCATCAACTCCGTCTCGCGTATATAATTCGATTCTTCGAAAATGGTCTTCTGAATGACTCCTCTAACAATGACCAGCTGATTGATCAAAAGTACCGCCAATTATCAGTACATTTTGAGGCACGTACGTGGCCTGAAATTGAATTTTCTCCTAGTGCGGGTGATGAGGTTGCACGCAACTCCTGGGATTATTTCTATTGAATAACTCTAACATTAACTCGAGTATATTCTATTGGATAGAAACGGTGGGACCACGGTCACGCCATACTTATCCATCAAATTGACCCGCATATCAGAAAGCAAGAGTCACTCGATCGTGTGAATGGGCCATGAAGCGGCCGGAAATCATCAATCAGGTCTCGATCAAGTGAATCACAGCCATTGAATTTAATTGTTACAGATTATGACTGTCGACGATATCGTCTGCACCAGGATCTACAAGCTACAGGAATGACGAGGTTATCAAATTATTTCATTGACAATTCAAATTACGAATCATTGCTTGGAGTATCTGGGGGTCCAGTTTACTTTTTTTTGCATCAAGCCTGAAAGTTCATAGTCTTCTGGAAGCTATGATATTATCCATGATTATTCATATTTAAGATATACTTTTATATATTCGTTGAATACTATCTGAACGAAATAAAAATAAGATAAATTGAAATCACAAATTGGATTCTTTCAAATTCTTATGGTGAGGGAAAATGAAGTTTTTCAATCATCATTATCTCCTGGGTATATTTTATAACTGACATGACATTCTGTCCACAACATGACCTATTTTTTGACACATCTAATATTTTGCATCGTCATTTTGCATTAAGCATTTGCATTACACCCTCTACACATTTTTCCTTCAGAAATTTTAATTAAAAGATATGCAGATTAAATTCTATTAAATCGATATTTACCAACCCAATTACACATTGCGCAATCTAAATTTCACATTGTAGAATTCAAATTTGTAAATGTTTAATTTGTTGAACTTTACAATCTGTACAGAATTCTGTATAGATGGAATTTAATTTTTTTCTTCATCAATTTTTATTCAAATTGATTTCGTACAAATCTAATGCGCATTTAGAAATGACAATATCAAAGTATTTTTCATCTATATTCATGAAACTATTTTTTTCATTCATGACCGTCATTATGCATGTATATAGATGAATTGACTACAATTTGCATAATCATTAACCGTTTGAAAAAAAATAATAGAAAAAAACGGAGAAAATTCATTTCTAAGTATCCTTATAAAAAAAATTCCAAGTGAATATCATCATCATCATATGGAAAAATCGGAACCTATTGTCTTTTTCTTATTAAATATTTCATAGAATCAGCGCAAAAAACAAATAGAATTTCTAGAGAATTCCAATAGAATTTTCTACCGAATTTGCTCAGTTTTTCTATTGAATTTTTTCATAGGTGTATTTGTGACTATCATCTGTAATTAAACAATTTGTGAGTCACACGACTGTCCCAAGATCTTCATTTTTTGTTCATATGATGCGATCTCAAGAATGACGGTCGTTTTTCCTGTAGATGAGCATTACAATTTCTGTAGAGGTCTAAATGTAAAAATTACATATGACAAAAAACTAAAAGCTTTTATCATGAGTATTAGCTCATTTTGTCAAGAAAATTTGCCGACATCGAAAAGTGCCTGAAAAAAAAATTCTTTGAACTGAAATAAATAAGTTCCCTGATGATAATCTTTAATTAGATTCCCTTGAAAAGTGAAATCTTACCTATGGCAAAACACCATTTGTTCCTATTTGGGTTTCAGTAGTCCAAGTGGAGAGTATAATGTAATGGGAATCCATGGAAAGAATTATTATTTCTATTTGATGGATAACGCAATAGGAATTTAATCGCAAGACAAACATTTGAATTGAATTTCTTGCAAAAAAACAATCATTTTAATGTTAATTGCCCAAAGTGCGCCCGTAACCCTGAAAATGGACTAAATGGACTAAAGAAAATAAGTGAAAAATCTAAACTATAATTTAAATTTCCTGTCAACTCCTCACTTACGTTGAATTTCAGACAAAAACAATAATTTGAATTGATTTTGCACGAAGTACACCCGTAACCCTGAAAATGGATATTAAATGGACTAAAGAAAATAAATGAAAAATCTAAACTCTAATTTGAATTTCCTGTCACCTCCTCACTTACCTACAGAGCTCTCCCACGTGTTTTCACTTGCTCCAACGGCAAAGTCGAACCCTCCGTTGTACCAAGTACTCAGTGGAGGTTAAGCCAATGATAACAACCATCACATAACCTAAATCCATCAAAACAAGTCGTGTTCGAAAAATCCTCCAAAGTGTAAAGTACCCAGCTAATTAACTAATTAATAGCCATGGACGACCTCGAGAAGAAGATTCAGGAGAGGATCGCCCAGAATGAGGCAAACAAACAGTCTCTGGTGATATTTGGACACGACATGACGAAGGTGCCGTGTTTCAAGCAGAGTTGCATCAATGGAATTTTAAGTGGAGTTGGTGCTGGAATTGTTATCTTCATGTTCACGAGTAGAATTGGTCTAGCTACTCACTCGGCGATGGGGACCTTCGGGGCTGTTACCTTGGGGTACTTCTCTGTCTGTAGGTATCAATTTTTCAAGGAGAAACTTTTGATTGACAAGATGAAGGGACTGATGCAGACTGCTCTGATTACTGACGGAGCAGAGCGCGACGAGAAGATAAAGGAGATCTCCAAACTTGTTGATATTTGAAGGACTGTAAAACAAAGTGAATAAAATTGTAAAGAGATTACACTGTAAGGGCCTTGGGCTCTGTGAGACCCAAGAGATGTATTATTCATGCAGATCAATGTATATTTCAACTGACCACTTTTTAAGTGAATAAAATATTTAATTATAGTTGTTCAAATTCTTGACTTTGTTGACGTGTTTTTGCGACCTAGAACTGTTTAGACGGTGGTTACAAAATTTAATAGAAAACCTTAGCGAATTCGCTAGAAAATTTTATTGAAATTCCCAGAAATTCTATGGGCATTCAATTAAAATTCTAGGGAATTCCCGTTAAAATTCTATTTGTTTTTTTGCGCAGATTCTATTAGATATTTGACAGGGAAAAGTCAACAGATTTCGATTTTTCTGGTTGAATTTTTTTCTTAACATTTTTTCTATTAAAATTAATGGGCACAGGTTTTCTCCAGTTTTTTCCACTGTATTTTGTTTTGTTTTCAATTACAGGATCCGAGTGAAAAAATTTGGAAAATTCATGCCGAAGTATTATTATAGAAAAAAATCCAAGAGAGTATTCATGTAGAAAAATCGAAATCTATTGACTTTTTTCTATGAAATATCTCATAGAATCAGCGCAAAAACACATAGAATTTTAACGAGGATTCCCTAGAATTTTAATAGAATCCCAATAGAATTTTCTAGCAAATTCGTTTTTCTATGGAATTTTTTCATGCGTGAGGAGAGGGTGGGGCAATATGGACGTGTGGAGTAAAATAGACACTCAAAGTTTACGAAAAAAATTTTTTTTTTCAAATTTTTGAAAATTATTTCATTGGACACTATGGACACCTGATGAACTCGTATAGGGTGGCTACTTTTCTACTCCCAAAGGAGATCACCATAAAACAACGAGGGGAGGGGAGGATAAATGAGCAAAGAAAAATTTGATTTACCACCGCCCACGACAAAGTCAAAAATGGTTTTCTTTTTCAATTTGAAAATGGCAGTAATGACGAGTGTTTCAGAAATTGAATAACACTGTTGAAACCTAAAAAATTGAGGAAGAAATTTAAGAGCCCATTTTACCTTGTTTTTGCGTTACCTTACGACTCCTACGACGCAGTCTTACGATAATATGTTTGTTTTTATAAACTTCAAATGAACTCTGAATAGTAGATTTGTTCCCTCCCCTATGTTATTTTTTTGTCAGAGGGCATCTTCAAAAGTTTTCGAACCCAAACGCTTTCAATTGGAAAACCGGTTTTCATTCCAATCTTTTTGTTCTTCTGTGTAAACGAGTCTAAATTTAGAAGGCGTTTCTTCTGATTTTTATTTTTTATTTTCACGGTGGTTATCCTTGGAGATAGAATGGAGAGGCTTTCTTGGGGTCGTTTGTATAAAATGGAATTGAAAAAAACCACAGGTTGAAAATTGAAGTTGAAAAAACAATTATGTAATCAGAATGTGGTAGGATAAATTTGAATTGATAACTAAATTTCGAGAGATGTTCCCCACGTTTTTATTTTCATTGAGGAGAATTGATCGATAAAGGGGGAATTCATTTGTGTCGAAATCATCCTCTTTTCGCAATGAAATACACGATGCGTAAAACTTGTGGAGAAATCTAGGACCGACTATTGTGTGATTGTGGAGAATAATTAGGTAAGTGAACCAAGAATTGAGAATATTTTGGATTTCCTGTTGACGTTTCTGTTTAAGGGCAATTCCAGGGGAGTTATGGTACATTTCATGTTAGCTCAGCCACACTAGATTTTGTTGTCGGGGAAAAATCATTTGACAGTTGCATTTCAAACTACTAGATATACAGTACTCCTGCCAAATTTCATTCCCTATTATTCTTGTTTTTGAAATAATTATTATGAAATGTAGAATTTATAAAGATTCATAACTTTTGAAAGAGACATCGCATTCAAGCGACTAAAAAAAATAAAAATTTTATTTATGGGACACAAGCATATTAATTTCTTTTCAATGGATATATGAAAATAAATATGCATAATATCTTATCCTATAAATATTTTTTTTAAATGGAAATATTCTTAAGTTAAGCATGACAGAATAAATTGATGACCAAAAACATTATATCCTTCTTTTAACAAGAGGATTTAATGCTCAAATACAAGACATCATTTTTCAGATAGCATAACAATGGTAATGCGACAGCAAACCTGTAACTCGAACGCATTATTTTCCATTCGGGTTCTATTTTTGAAAGATATTCTCATCCTGAAATGGTACGATTTCGTTCATCCAAACAACTCTCACTTAATGTACGGCGCAGAAAGTCAGATGAGCGCAGAAGAATTTGCGTTGTCCAGTGCCCGGATACTAAATTAAAAAATTCTAATAGGCTAATGTCTCCATTATCAATGTGATATCCCAATGAAAACGCCTTCTCTCCGTGTAAACACCCTCCAGACAGATAAATTCCACTAGACATTAATGTTCAATTATTTTAATAACTAGCCATTATTTTAATACCTCGGAGTCATAACAGAATCTAGATTGTGAGAGGTCATCACAAAGAGCCGGGACGAATGAACTGAGAAAAAATGATAATTCCATCCATTAATAAAAATTTACGATCAATCTTGTGTTCATATACTATCTTGGCTCAATTTTTTTCCACCGGATTCTAGTCCGCAGTGTCACGGAATGTTAAAGCACGACACTGCGTCATCCCGAGAGATTTATTCCTTTTGTAAACATTAAATTCCATTTTCGACTGATAACTTCCAGTTTTTTTCTCAAAAAATGCTGATTTTTAATTGGGATATCTAACGTTTAAATGTCACTGGGAGGTTTACCCAACACGCTGTAGCTGCTCAATACACTCTCTTCAGGCATAAAATTACTAGTTGACATTGAGGTACATCCACGTGTTATTCATCTACGGAAGAGTCCACCAGACTTGATGAATATCATCAATGATATATATTTCAGCGGAAAAGGAACATTGTTCGAAGTTTCAAAAATTCAAATGCCCTATGAATCGCCTTCAACAAATTTAAATTTTGGTGAATCGCCTTCTGGCGATGTCATCAACAAAGAATTTGATCTACACTGAGAAAAAAATTATTTTTTCCAAATCTATCCATTTACTTGAGAGAAGTGTTTTATTTTTTCAATACCGTGTTTCTTCAGTGGAGAGAGTTATTCCCAGGCAATTCTCATTAGGTTTCAATTATGACAATTATATTGCTCTAAAAGATGATCATTTTAGTTATAACCTTGAGTGAACTCCCTCAATAATTACAAACATGAAAAAATTAATCGAAATTCTTCCCAATAGAAAATAAGAAATTTTGAAAAAATGGATAATTGTCTAAGATCATGTGCAACACAGTCGTCCTCTAGAGCAATAGCATTGTCATAATTCAGTAGCAAAGTGGTAAACGGTTCAAGTCGGCTTATCTCCCAGTTGAGTTTTTGAGGAATATTTCCGAATCTAAGGGAGAGAGCGAAATTTTCGTAATAACATTTGATATAGCACTCAATCAGCTCTACAAAAAAGATTATAACAAAAATTTTGCTATCTCCCTTAAATTCCGAGATATTCATTGAAAATTGGACGAGAAATATTCAGTAAAAATTACGGAACTCACAGTTCGCTCACCAATTACGGAATCGACTCAGAAAATTTAAGTGACGGTATCAAAATTTTTACAGAAGATTCAGATAAAAATGACGGAACGCTCTGGAAAAATTCCGTGACAGTTCCGTAAAATTTCGTATGACCACATTGCGCTCCGAAATTACGGAAAAGATACGTCATTTTTATGGAATATTTCTCTCCGTGTAGTCAAAATTGACTTGTACCGTTTTACCACTTCGCTACTGAATTGAAACCTCATCAGGTTCGCCAGAGAGACTCGATTCATGTCCGGATAGTTCAGTTGGGAGAGCACTCGATGCATCACCGGAAAGTCCCGGATTCAAATCCCGATCTGGACTATTCATTTTTTTCAGTAAAAATTTTCTGATTAGTCAGATTGAGAATAATCCCGGATTCGCTCCTATCTCATCCAAATTCCATCCAATCATTTCCTATGACGTCACAAAGACGTGGAACGCTATATAATTTCCCCTCTTTTGATGACTCGATTGGAGAAATATGATTTTGAAAAAATAAATGCTTCTCTCAAGTAAATGATGTGATGTTGATAAAAATTTTTTTTTTCTCAGTGTACGGATATACTGGGAAAGGTTTTTGGCGCTTGAACAAGTCGAATTATCATTAACTTTAATCATTAACATTATTGAAATTTTCATTGATGTTAATAATTTCATTGAATACTCTAATTTTAACGGTTAAAATTTGGTAGATGTTGCTGTGTACTGGAAAAAGTTTTTAGTGCTGAAATAATTCGAATTATCGTTAATTTTAACCATTAACATTTCTGTAATTTTCGTTGATTGTAATAATTTCATTGAATACACTAATTTTAACATTTAAAGTTTGGTAGATGTTGTAAATGCCTTTCGGCGCTGGATGAGTAAAGGTCTTGATGAGAATATTTTGATCTCGATTCTCGTGTTTATTCAATAAATGCGATGTCGGTTCCGAATTGGATTCATGAATATTCGGTGATGCATACTTAGAATTCCTCATCAATCACTGCGGTGATGGAAGTGTTGAAGGCATTTCATTTCTATCAACGCGTCTTGTGGCATACGGGCGTAAGTGGTGTGTGTAAGCATAGCTTTCATGTCCATTCTGAATAAAATGAGGATGAACTGTATATGATAGGAAAGTTTTGAGGATTACGTGTTAATTTTCTGTGTGAAAGAGATAGAATGATTTAGAAATTTGGATAAATTGGGGAAATAATCGTTGGGAATTTGTCATGGAGACACAGTCACCACATTATGGTAGAAAATTGATTGTTTACAAATTATTTATAGGAATGCGTGTATTCAATGAAATGATTAAAATTAATGAAAGTTTTAATAATTTTAATGGTGAAAGTTGATGACAATCCGAGTTATTTAAAATGCTCGTAATTACTGAAAATTGCAATTTTTTAATTATTTCATCAATGTTTCTCCAAAAACAACCTTGACAATTTTTTTCAGATTTTTAAAATATTTTCTAACGGTTCAACATCGAGATTCTCATTTACACCTGCGAAGTTTAAATAATTAAATTATTGTAAAATG